TTTAAAGAAATTGAGTCGTATACTTATATGTTCATTCTGCTTTTTATAGAGGGATTTGTTTTGTGATCTGGGGTGTCAGGTTGATCCAGCCTGAAATTGGTGCCATGAGAATCAATTTTGAGTATGGATCTGTTTTAAATTCTTTGAGATAGATCCATTAACCTAGAATACTTCTACAGTGAAAGACTGCGCATTTGTTTGCCTAATTTTGTTGGCAGTTGCCTGTAAAAAGAAGATCATTGGCAAGGAAACTGACTCCTGTGTTATTAATAATACTGTATTATGGATTATATAAGGACATAACACATGAAAACCAGTCTGCCTTTGGGCTTCCTAAAATTTGGTTTTTGGTCTATAGTATGTTAAATAAAACCTTTTGTCCTTTGTTAATCCATGATCTTGCCTTTCCCCTCTTCTAATTTATTGTAGAATTTCCAGATTACAGCCGTCTGTACAATTTTAGTGTTAAATTATTTAGTTCTGAGAAAGCTAACTTGAAGACATAGGACAGGGTTATTTAACTGGCGGCCCGCGGGTCAAATCCTTCCTGCCAAAGCTGAGCAAGTGGTCTGCGGATAACTTCTAGCTGTATTGTATTTTCAATATTTCTATGCTGGGACTCAGGCCACTGGCCCGTGACGATCCATGTTTTTGAACATTTTGGTCCCTAAGCCAGCTTAGTTGAATAGCCCTGACATAGGATGTTTTAACTGAAATGCACAAGTATTGCAGACATCTTATAAATAGGCACACCACAGTTACACCTTTGGGTGAACACAGGAGTTTTTATTCATCCGCAATGTTTTTTTTTAAATGTTAAATTAATCTCGAGATATATGAGGTCAGTTTCACCTCTTCAACTTTCAACTTTTCTATATGAATACTATATTTTTTTCAAAATCTACAGAAATGGAGCAGATTTTCTTTAATTTTTTTTATAGAGAAACTTATGGTATATTATGTCTAGAACTACAAATTTATTCCTCAGCAGATGCCATGACTAGTCCGGGCGGAAATGAAAAAAACGGGGACTGCTTGCCATCTCCCAAAGTGGTTCTGTACCCGGAGGAGAGAGTCAACATGGAGTGGACTCGCATGACCCGCATTGGCGCAGGTTTAGTCAACATGGGAAACACATGTTTCTTCAATTCAACTCTGCAGTGTCTCACATACACACCACCTCTCGTCAATTATTGTTTTACAAATGACCACAGAGAAAAATGTGAGTATTCAGGTTGTGTTCTGGATATTATAGTTTATAGCAGTGTGCTGTACATGAGTAATGTTTCTTAGACAAATTACACATTCATTTACAGCTTGAGTAGACTGTATTTGTCTAGTAACCTCAGTGTTTGTTGTAGGTCTGTGATATATTCATTGTCCCAAATTATGTGGCACATTTTTCAGCGAAGAAAGGCCTGCTCTGTTCATAGTAGCAGTTATTGTCACAGAGGTCTGCAGTTGCTAGCATTCCTCCGATATTTTTTCAAGGAGATAAAGATATGCTGGGAAATGAACAGGCAGATAGATTGGCTGGTGCTGAACCTGTAGAAGCTTGATACATGGCTAGCTAGATGTGGTCGAGGTCCTTTGGGAGCAGGTGAACAGTGCGAAAGCATTACCTGTGGAGACTGGTGTGACCATGGGATCTTGTCGACACTCAGAGGAAAGACAAGGCAGACATATAATCAGACTGATACCAGCACCATCAGAATTAGATGGTTTGCTGGCTACTGAAGAGTGTGTATGGGAATGTTCCGAGTGCTATGGTGTTGGTTCTTGACTATTCCTGTTAGTGAATAGAATAAAACTGCAGTGTGGGGTGCAGTTAGTGGTATGAGGCAAGGAATGACTATTAGTGGTGGTCACGTGATATCAGGAACACCCTAGCTGCTGACAAGACTAAATCTGAAAGTGGTATAACCTCATAAAAGTATTTGCATCACATATGAGTATATTATACATATACTTGAATCATCGGCATTTCTAGAGTTTAAACCTCATATTAGGGTCATTTTCCTTTTGTAAGGACTAGGTCTTAGAAACCCTTTATAAATGTGATCCTTGCAAACCAGTGCAATCATTTGTTTTTTAAATTTATGTTTATTTTGCAGAGGTGGTCACCACAATGCAGTACACTTTGCAAATGTAATTTTAAGATGTTACAAATTTACTGCAAGTTTTAATGTTCCCCCTGATTATAGGTTCTTGATCATGATTTTGTTTGGTTGATTTCAGGTAAGAAAAAAGACTTCTGTATGATGTGTGAGATACAGAACCATATTAAGAGTTCCCTGGATTGTGGAGGCAGATCTATCAAACCACACTCAATACTTCAAAAATTACGATGTAAGCATGTTACTTTTTTCTATAGTTTTTTTAATGATGTAAAAACATCTGCCTTCTATTGTTCTTTTGGGTGTATGTGTGGTGGAGAAATTTAATTTAAATGTATGGTGTGTTCTCTTTACACTGGGACCTTCAGGGTCTAGGAATAATGGCATACCAAATACCAGAATGGACAAGAGAGTGAAGTTAAAATGACACGGAGGGATTGAGGTGAGCTGCATTAGATAGCAAAGTATTAGTTGACTTGGCATGAGTTGGTTGAAGGCCTATGCTCCGTTGAGGGATAAAATGTCAGAAGATGAAGAAATAAGAATATTCTATACTAATTAAGATAGTTTCTAGACATCATTTTTGGTTGCTGTGTTAGTGAATACTCAACAGGCCTTATTTCTAGCATTATGCTAATACTACATGTGTTGTCACTTATTGTCATTGCTCTTTCATTTCCTAGTATGCTAAAGCATTATTGATAGCACTGTTATGTGGTATGTTTAGGAATAGCAGGGGGCTGAACTCTCACTCAGGAGTCATAGATTTGAGTTATCACTAAAATGATGAAGATTCTTTCTAGATATTGAACCAGAATAAAAAATCTAACCTGAACAGATCAAGGCAACTGCATTAGACATGAAGCCATGAACTCCATTAGCCCAAGACACCTCCCACACTATACTAAAAAGTTATAACTACAGACAGTAAATATAGTTAACAGTTGATCAGACGATATCAAATAATACTACTGGTAACAGTTTAACAAAAGTTCTTACACTTTCCCAGGTATAGCAAAACATATGAAGTGGGGACGTCAGGAGGATGCTCATGAGTTCCTTCGTTTTGTTGTAGACCATTTGCAGCAGTCGTGTCTCAATGGGGAAACCAAGTGAGTTGATCTGAAAATTATATGTATTTAATATATGTTTGTAATGGTGATTTAATTAGCTTGTTTATCAGATCTGCAGTGTCATATCAAGTTTCTTTTTAAAAATGTAATATCAAGCTTAGATTCTTTGTAAACTAGAATATTGCATGTTCTTTTTTTTGTCAAATTGGTTCATTCTTTTGATCATTTTGCCTCTGCTTACTCCATTTCTAGCTTTACTTTTCAGTCATATCATACAGGGATGGGTGGGGGGGGGACCAAATGTTTTTGTAATAGTCCTAAAATCACTAGCTTTTGCTATGAAAAAATTTTGGAAGAATAACACACATAAGGACATAGCATTTCACAATAAATGTTTTTTTTTTTGTAAATGCTAAACCTAAATGCAAAGCACAGAATGTTAGACCTGTGAGTACAATTCTTCAATTTTTAAATATTTTTGTTTGTTGGTATAGGCTCTCAAATAGTAATACAGTTTGAAGTATGGATATGGTAAAGTTAGCATGTGAGTTCATTTAATACCAGTCCAATATTGATTTCTTTGTTTTTTTTCTTGCTTGTTGGTAATTTTTATTTGTATTTTTCCAGATTGGATAGATTCAGCAAGGAGACCACAGTTATCAATCAGATCTTTGGCGGGTATCTTCGGAGCCAGGGTATGTCTGCTTGGTAGTTACAAACTTATATTGAACCCTGGCAGTCTAATATGCTCACCTAACACCACACACTGGTCTGGGGTTCAGACACATTAATAGTGATTAGATTTGTTCTGTGACTGGTTTTATTTTATCACAGTTAATGTAATTACACATTGGGCAATAACGTTAGTGCTCAGTCGCCCCAGTGTACCTCTGCTTATTGTTCCCATGAGATATTGGTACAAATGAGTATGTTTTTGGAGCACTCATATGTTACCAGGGCTTACAAGTTATAAAGAAAGGAAAGTAGAGTTAACACAACTCACCATGCATGTTATCAACAGCAACTAAGGACAGTTAACTTGAGACTGAATACCTCATTCTATGCAATTCTGTAGGTGCATAATCTAACCTATCATGATTTAAGTATCTAAAGAACTTGGTGTGTTCTTTGAGTAACTGTGCTCCATTGGGAGCTGAAAGGCTGTAGTTCAGCGGTTCTCAACCTGTGGGTCAAACAAACCTTCCACCTGGGTCGCCTAAGACCACCGGAAAACAAATATTCCTCGAAGTTATGATTTAGCAATAAAAATAATTTTATGGTTGGTTTCGCCACTACGTGATAACTGTATTAATGGGTCATGGCATTAGGAAGGTTGAGAACCACTGCTGTAGATCATTCTGGAATTAACCTAGCCTCTTTAAATGCATATAACTTAGTTCTCTGTTACTGAAAGATCACCTTATGAAGGAAGCTGATCACTGGTTACTATGCCCATACTCACTATTTGCCTATGATTGCTATATTTATTGAATATTAGAGAAATTACATTTCTAATTTCTAATAGCTGTAGTCCTTTACGCTACTAAGCATACACACCATAATCAAAGAGGGATATAGAGCACACGATAGCTAGAGCGCAAACAAGAAAATTAAGAGAAACTCTACAACAGTATCATATGTATACGGTTGAGGGAGCGAGAAGATAAAGAAGAAGAATCGTATATCTCCCTCGACACTTAAGAACTGTAAAGGAGTAAATAAAGAAAGCTTTTGTAACTTATTTCAAAGCCACGACGAGCTTGTATTTTGATTGAAATGTATTTGTAAATGTCTTATTTTTTGTTTCCAGTTACCTGTCTGCGGTGTCAAGCCAAATCTGATACGTTTGATCCATTTATGGACCTCAGTCTTGATATTAAGGTATGTTTGTAGTGATTTGATGATTGCCTTTTCTTGATGTGAGCACTTTTTTTTAAAAAGTGTTTATTTTAAAAGTGGCACTCAACATTAAGAAAGTGAATGTTCACATTATTGATTAAAATAATATCAATTATTATGCAGTATTTCACTGTTGACTATCTTTTAAGCCTTATTGACATTAACATGAAGATACCCTAGCTGGATCCTATTACCATGTACTGATCAGTTTCAGTGAGAAAAAAGTTTTCAAATTCCGTTGAGTCGGTATTCTTGTACAAAATATAGATAAAAAAAGGCAACTAAAAGAACGTTTTATAATGCTTTGACATATAAAGACTATATACAGGCAAATGAGAGTGCATTGTGAAATGTGAAAAAAAAAATTGGTTAGTGCAATTAGTATTTGAAAATTAAGCTTTTTTTTTAGGTGTTATCGGAACACACACTTGGTGATTGGAAAAAACAAAGATAAATACCAAGATAGCCTCATGGTAGAGTCGTTTTGCGAATGGCATTTATCCCACCATGGGCTTCTTCACTTCCTCTTTTACCGCTGTGGGTGTCGAGGGAGATATAATGTTCTGTTTCTAGCTCTTCTGGCTGCCTCGACCATAGGCACATCGTGCTGTTGTAGAGTTTCTCTGATGTTATCCTTCCATATTGTTCTTGGTCTACCCCGTGCTCTACGTCCTTCTTCTCTTTCCATGTATGCTTTGTATGGGCTACATGACCTATTTTGATGGAAGAAAGAATAGAACCACCACCCCTTTCCCTAAAACAAGCATGTCATAAAAGGTGGTTAATTAGGAGGTGTTTCCTCCATTGGAAGCAAAAAACCAGCACTCTGCTAACAAGTAAGTCCTATCTGTAAAATGGATATGAATGCTTGTTGTGGAACACAAACAGGAGTGGGCGAACAACCAGAACTTTTGATTAGAGCTTACGGCTGGTAATAATTCTAAGCAGATGAAGTTGTGCCATGTGGTGAACCAAGACAACTCTAGATATATTGGTATGGCATATGATGGTTATGTTCCTTACATTTATCATCCGTGTCTCCTTGTGGGCTCTCTAGGTCAAATTGGGGGGGGGAGGGGGCGATCAGCTGCACCAGAATGATGTAAAAAGCAACCAATTCAGAAATGATCTCTGTTAGAGAATTATCCTGATAATAAGTTATGTCATTATCATATTTTATCCATTAAAGTGTTTAGTCTGTCAGTTTGGAGGTCAAATGTTAATTTTTTTATTTTTTTTTTCAATCTAGGGTGTGAGCACGGTGGAGGAAGCACTGTCAAAATTTGTCAAGCCTGAAACTCTTGACAATGAAAATGCATACAAGTGTCCAAAGTAAGTTATTTCTTGACATAAGTTTTTCAAAATGTGTCCTCATAAACTACAAGGGTGATTTATCTCTGTTTCTCTCCCCATGGATGTGGGCTGTAGTCTTGTTTAACCCTTTCATCTTGGGCAAGCCAACTAAGATCACCCATAGTTAAAATGTAATACTAAAATGCTGAGCTTTAAAGTAAAAAAAAAAATACTTACACATTAATTAGTAAATGTGTATTTAAAAAAAATAACAATAGTCAGTGAATATGTGTATGTTGACAGTAGCTGTAAAAAGCAATCTCTTTCCATGCTTTAACTCTTTCACCACATTAATTTTTAAAAACAATGGGCCACAAACTCATAGAAATTTCCAGGAAATTTTCTTTAAATCAGACATATTGCCTAGGCCACTAATAAATTTAAAAAAAAAGTATATAAGGGCCGTAATCAGCCTGACTTTCATTAAGCTATTCGGGTGACAAAGCAAAAAAAAATTATACAATACTATTTTAGTTTCTTATTTATTTCGTGTTAGACACTGTAGATGCACACCGGATCAGTAGACTTTACGCTTTTTAAGAATCAATCACTGCAAACATTGCCATATATTGGCATATACAAGGAAATTGCAAAACCGTGACTAGATTTAGGCTTCTCTGAGCAAAAGAATAATCAAAAGTCTCTGTATTAGCATTTGTTTACAGTTTGGAGTGCCTAAATATTGTAGATGAGCATACAAAAACACACTCAGTAACCTTTTGTGTGCTTTTTTAAAAAAAGTCATCTTAGCAAAAATTGTTTTTATTCTGACCTGATGCGAGATTTGTCAAAGGCTTTTGTGTAACAAATGTTCATATTTTCAGATGCAAAAACAAGGTCCGAGCTCAGAAACGCTTCTCTATAGAGAAAGCTCCAAATGTTCTGACCCTGCAGCTGAACAGGTTAGTAGCATTTTTCAGTTCTTTGGTGAATGTAAAGAATATGGAGATATTGTTTTAGAAGATGTATAGATTGAAGTAGCTTTATTTTCTTTATCTGACACAGGTGCTTTTAAATCTATTATATGGATAACTGTAAAACATCCAGAGTAATAAAAAAAAAAGTGTTGGTACTGACAGCATTGAAGAACCTTATTTGCAGTAGCATATACTCATAGTGATGACACATTCAAGCCAAGAGTGGGCTTTATTTCCATAGATAAAATGGATCTTGGCCAAGAGTGGGCTCTGTTTCCATAGATACAGATGCATTATTTGTACAGGTACATTCATTATCTGTAGCTTTTTTGTACATAGTGTACTTAAATGAACTTTTGTTGGTGTGTATGTTAATTGATTTATATTGTGCTTCCTAATGAAAACTGTTTGTTATTCCTTGGATTTTTGTGTAAAACTGTAGACTGAGCTTCAGCCTCTTTAAAATAAATGCTTGTTTGCAGAAATATGAATTAGTTCTAATATAGAATTGAGAAGTAAGTACTGGAGCATTTAATGTTATGTTTTCTTTGAACAGATTTGACTTTCATCATCACTTATCTGGGAAGATAAATCGATTTATCAAATACCCAGAAAAGATCAACTTGCGCAGCTACATGAGCCAGAGAGTGGTGAGTTGCATGACTGACAGCTGTCTTAGCGAATTCTTTTCTTTAAACTCAAATTTAGCAGTTTGCTAGCCTTATTGTTTTCTATAATCTCTTATCTATTGTAAAGATAAGGAGAGTCTATTCTTTGGTCATGACACGAGAAACCTAAAACTGGAGTACATCCTGACGGTTGGAAAGTTGGAGAGGAAAAGAGGCAGATTAGGACTGAGGGAGAAAATGCTGGACAGTTTGAAATCATGGCATGGAAGATCATCTGTGTAAGAACTGATTGAGATTACATGAGACAAAAAAGTTGTGGATAGACATGACTACCAACACCACTTGGCATGGTCTATAAGATAGCAAAGATGTAAAATCTTAGTTACACAGGAGTATGAGATAAAATGTGATACAGAAATTAAGTTAGGACTTTCATATCCAAAAACCTTTTTGTTAGAATAAAAAGAAACGATGTGCAAAAAATTTATTTCATTGTATGTTTAGTAAGTTTATGGCCCATTTCTGTGTGATTGTAAATGCTTGATGCATAATGCGATGGGGAAAATCAGAGGCAGAGGAGATATGTTTTTAAGAGGAGAGTTTATAATGTATTGTCAGTGGCAGAAACTGGACGCAGTAGAGATACTGGTTTAAGAGGGAGTGTTCAGAATGCATTTGTCAGTGGCAGACATTAGAGCTCGTTAAAACCAAGGTATGCAAATAGGCTAAATCACAGATGATAACGCACAGACTGGCCAAGATCTATCTAGACAGAACAGAGTAAAATCTGACTGAATGAAACAGTGTTTCCCATTTGGTCTATGGACTTGCAAGATTCTGCGGAACAAATTTAAGTGGCATAATAGCTTTTCCAAACAATCCCCGTAACTTAAGATTGCAGTCCTAATATTTATAAGTTATTCAGTATGACTTATGATGTATGGATGGGTGTCTGGTAGATTTTGAATATAAAAGGGGCCGGCGGGGTTTAGCTAAATAGGACTGCAAGTTACACCTGGCTGGTATCTGCATTGTTGGTCTGCCATCCAGATTAAGAATCTTAAATATTATAAGGTATGGTAAATCTAGGTATCAGCCTGGAAGGGACAAACCGTTCGATCGATTAAGCTAATTGAGAACAATTGAGTTAAAACTGAATAAGATTGGAGAGCCATAAACACCGACTTCAGATTTAACACTTGAAGATGAAAAAATTTGTGTGATATATTTAGTGTTAACTGAGAATATGGGCAGGCTGTTGGTTCTACATCTATGAAACAAATGTTGAAAATATGTTTGCGAGAACATGCATTTTGTGTCTCTTTTCAGGGTGAGCCCATCCTGTACCATTTATATGGGGTTCTGGTCCACTCTGGTCACAGCAGTGAACATGGACACTACTATAGTTTTGTGAAGTCTCCCAGTAAAACATGGTACTGCATGAACGATTCCATTGTGAGTATACCATGTCCAGGTTGTTTTGGGGTATTTTACTTTTATTTTTCATTCAATTTGTTTAGTAATTAATATTAAGAAAAGGGGTTCAGTTCAAGAGTGAAGTTTTTAGTGTGGAGATCCCTGTTCATCCCGACTGAAGGTGCCCAGTTTGTGGATCTCCTTGTGCAGCGCTTTTGGCAAGCGGCTAGCTGTTCTGCGTAGAGACTTGGTCATATGGGATAACCTGGTGCAGTGAAGCCAATCTTCTTGACCCTAACTGAAGAAAAATATCTATAAAAAATTTTTGGTTGTGGCATGCCTGCAAAGTGGAAGGACGTACACGATAGGACAGTACGGACAGTGAAGCTTAGATCAAGAACAATGTAGTTCTTTTCTTCCCATTTAAAATTTCATTTCCATTTTCTGAAATCTGATTATCGCTGTTTTATTTCTGTGTTGATTATCTTACTATTGGATTGTTTCTGTCATAAAGCAGTTGTTAACACTTTAGTCAGGGTCTCTAAAATAGTCAAACAAGATGCATTGATGTTCGGTTGTTGACACCGCTCAGGGGTTTTATGTCAATTCTAATTTTAAATTCAGCTAGTCAGTATATGGCACCGGATGTTGATATTATGTCACTATGCTGCCAACATCCTTATCTAAACTAACCAGTAGGAGACAAGACTAACAAGATTTTCTTAGAATTGTTAGGTACAGTTCGTTGTTTATATCTTTCCATGTGATAGTGTTACAGTTAAATTGTGCTTTGAGGAGGATTAGAACTCACCGCCCAAGTGGCGATGGCGAGTGACTAGCAAGATACTGCTCTTTTCCAGTACCTCAGTGTTTGTGATCTTGTCTCGCCACTTATATACAAGAAGCAGCATTTGTTCATTTCCAGGTACATCAGGCAGGCAGTAACAGCGTGTTTAGTGCTGATGCCTATGTCTTGTTCTATGCTCGAATTAAAAGTAGCATCAGCAATGGTCCTTCCACGTCCAGCAGCACCTTGAACCACTTGAAGAGTCCATCCTCCCCTGTAAAGGTAAGTGTATTTGTTTATTGCACAATCCCACATCCACCTATTGTAGACTCCATCAACTTGGGCTTCCGGGTTAATTGTAGAAATGAGCCTTGATGCAGATTTGACTTTATGACCTTCAGCTGGAATTGAAGTGTTTAGTTATTGCACCACTGCAGCTCCTGATAAAAAAAGCTGCCTAGATGCAATCCTCAGCACAGGTAAAATTATTTTCAGGCTAGTATGGATGTAGAGCAGGTCCTCCAGGGTTAGTCGCAGACTGTTAACCAGGAAGTTGGACTCTCATGCCCCCCCCCCCCCCCCCCCCCCCCCTCTCCCTAACGGAAAATCAAATCCTTGAAATGGTGCTCAGTATAACCAGGAAGAGGAGAGTTTGTGTAAGCCTATGATTTGACCTACTTTTAGCTACGTCAGTTCAGACATGTCTAGACATTTACATAAAAAAACAGGGGGGGGGGGACCTGTAAGGCCGTTAAATATTATGAATTAATCAAGTAACATAAAGTGTACTGATCGGCACTCATAGAAAGAAGTAGAAAAATAGAACACACTAGACAATAAAAATCGAAAGCTATAGTTACCGTGCCGGGAATTGAACCTGTCACCTCCAGACATTTACAGCAAACCGTTTGCAGATAACATTTTCAGAATTTTCTAAGAAGAAAGGTGTCAAAAGAAGAAGACTAGCCATTCTGCCTTGTATGGTGTGTTCTAGAAAAGTACTTGGAGACAAACGTTCATATGATTAAAACATGTCGTTGTGGGCGTGGGGATAGACCCATTGCGGCCCTAAAAAATGTTTAAAAGGTTACAAATCAGTGGTTTGTTAAAATCATATGTGTTGGCTCAAAAGACATAGATTTTGCAGCCTAGCTTTAAATAGAACAATCTGCCAATCAACTTTTTAAGTGTAAACTCAGAAGAAGAAATAAAGACAGTAATTGAAGATGATGTATAATTTTATATGGACAAGATTAATAGAAAGGAAACGACCAAAAAAATATACCTTTATAGCTACAGAGACTTGATAATGATTTTTGTAGAGAGGAAGTGTTCAAGAACAAATGAATATAGGCATACATGGACAACATCAGAATCTTAGGAAAAGTATACACGACCACTTTTGAGTATTTGAGTTTCATTGCACCTGAGAAAATATTTAGTTGATGATGTTGATTATCGTCTATTTGTGCTTTGCTAGTGAGATGTCACAGTTGTGTGCATTTTATTTTTCTGGTCAGCAGACTGTTAATTTTGTATTTCAGACACCGTTTATTGGACCTACACTCCCAAGCCACGTGAAGCAAGAGTCCCCTCATGTTAATGGCATACATGGTAATGTTGTTTGTCATGGTGTACTATGCTCTTCTCTGAATACAACTTTTTGTTCATCGTTTTGTTTTACTCTGATCATAAAAAAATAAAAGTGCAGTGTATTTTTTATCTTTCCAAATTAACAGTCATGGTTTTGTAGATTATTTTTTACAGACCGCTTGGAATTTTTTTTTATCTTTCTCTGTCTCAGCACAACCTCGCCTCTTTCCCCATCCTCCCCCTTTCTCTAAACCCCAAAACAACCAACTCCCACTTTTTATATGTGTCTGTTCTTTCTCTTCAACGCCATTGTACCCTGAAGTCATGTGGTCATGAAAGTGAATACAGTGGAATGTCCGCCCACACAGCAAATGTTTGTAGAAGGCATTTATAAAACTGATGAAACACATTGTTCTTCATCGAAACTAATGCAGAAGGCATCTAACCAAGTCCCTGAATTGAAAGAAAACATCACACTTTGAGAACTGTTGGTCCAAACGCTAAGGACACTCACTGTGTGATCTCCCTAGTCCCATGTCTGTGGACTAAATCAGGTGTAGAGGAACAAATTTTAGTAAGCTGGAGGCTCCAGCGAGCAGAACTAAGTTTCCATCAGCAGGAATTCATGATTCCTTGTGCGAGCCTGGTATCCTAACATTATATCGGCTCTTCATGTTTGGAAACCTCAATGGATGGTGGGGAATGCTCATGCGTGACCCCCTGCCATCCTGTCACTACCATGCAGGAAAGATAACATCTCCATTCTGGGGCAGTGGAATATCTTGAAATTGTGCAGGAAAACTAAACAGCAACACATCTTTCAACTAGGAAAACTCAGTAAATTGATCGACTCAGAGTACAGGCAAAAGGCTGGTGACCGAACTCTCAACATCTTCATACACCCCTAATATTTAAGTAGACTCTAGTTTTGACATAGTCACCTTCAGTCTTGATCATTTGTTTGTACCAATACAAGTCAGTGATAATTTTGAAAGTTATCCAGGACTAAATTTAGGAGACAGCTCATCTGTGTTTAGTCATGACAGGTTTTCTGTAGCCAGGATGCAATCAGCGGTTTTGTTTATTGTGAGTTGAGAACTGACATCACAAAACTCGGAACGTTCCCAGAAATGGTATGTCCTTATCTTCAGGAGCTAGCACAGAATTCCAGTTTTGAAGATATCAGAAGCAGCTAGTTCTATGTTTGTCTTGCCTTTCAGTTGCGTGTTGACCAGATCCCCTAGCCTGTATATACTTTGGTCATTATGCGCTTGCACAGGTAACATATTGCATCTATGCAGTTTTTTTATTGTTGCTTGGTTGTCTCTCACTGGATCATGCTCTTAACTGAGTCCTTTGTATGCATTCTGGTATAGTTGGATTGTGTAAGTAAAGTTTTCTGATGAATAAAGCAGACCTTCCTACAAAACCTCCTTTATCACATTTTATAACAGTGTCGGCTTAGGTGATGCAACCATGCTCCATAAATCTGAGATCCCAGCTGCAGATAATTTGGCAGCAGACCATCTTGCATTGGTTTCTATAAACTCCTTTAATTTGTCATTTTTAGCCAGACCTGTGTTGTAGTATTGTCTGTTTCATATTTTAGTTTACGTGTCTATGGCAGATTTGTTTCTTGTGTCAATTTTCAACTGTTTGGTGTTGTGTTTTGTGTAAGTTGTCACTTAAATATGTTGAGTGTCAGTCATATGTGTCTTAAACTGATGTGGTTTGGTTTACTTGTAATTTCCATTGTTTTGTAAAGTTGAGATTATTTAAATTTTTGGGGGGCGAGACATCTGACTTGTTCATATTTGTCTCAGGTAAACCTACCAGTGAGATCGGCACACCCATAAAGCATAGTACTGCCAACCCAGGGTCTTACGCTGGGATCACTCTACCCAAGCTTGTGCCAACTTCAACATCGCTGCCAGGTACTCACAACAAAATATCGTTCCCTATACTTACACCTCTTCAGAAAAAGCAGCATCTGTTGCAACGGCAGCTTCAGAAGGAAGACGGGAAACACATTGTGCTTCAAATTAAACATGGAAATTCTACAACAATGGAGAAGTCACCAGATGGACAGTCAAAAGTGGTTAATGGCGTTATCATGACCCAGAAGTCAGTAGGTCTGGTGCCCTATAATGACGACTCTGATTCAGAACAAGACAATGTGGGCAGTGCAGGCACACTGAACTCTGTAAATATAAAAACCAATCAACAGAAGGCAGCTAATGCATCACTTGGTTTGCACCAGGCTGCAGGAGATCATTCTCGAGATCTGACAATTTTTCCGAAGCTGAGTTTCCCTTCTAAGGGAGACGGTGACTCTGGGAACTTGCCACATGCAAATACTATAGCGGGACAGTATGTTTTGCCAAGCTTACAGCAAACACACAAAGACATTCCATCACCCTCTGCCAGTAACCAGCCTCTGTTGCCTACCTCGAATTTAAGTTATCAGCTCACAGACTTGCATACAAAGCAGTGCTCTACCCAGATGTCACCGACTCCCTCCAGCAAAGCGCTCTCCCACAAAGACTTAAGTCCCTCGGCATCAAAACTGGCAGATGTTCACCAGGAGGTCCCGTTAACCACCACCACCACAACTACATTAGCAGCAGGTAAGAGTGGTGTTATGGAGCTCCCTGTTGTAAATATGTCATCCTGTGCAGACTCAGGCAACGCCAAGGTGAAAGCTGCAGGTGGAAACTGGCTTGTCCAGGCCCAAGATTGTGCCCCAAGTCCGCGCAGCTCATGCTCTAGCTCACACAGCGTAAATTCCACCACTGAATGGACCGTCGAGTCCAAAGGTAATTTAATTTCCAGACCTCCTCTTTTAACAGAGATTAAAAATCCCTGTAACTTTCTCCTTGAAAATAGTCACAAACTTCCAACTGTCAGTTAATTGCTTATTGTACTTGCATGATGTTTTGCTTACAACTTGAAAGCTTTTTATTTGCATGATTAAATACTTGTGCATCCACCTCTTGATTTTAGTTTCTTTTTATCAACTTTAAGATACTTTCCCTTTTTAAAATTTCTTTAGATTTCCTTTTTATATTTTTTATTTTTTGGTTTGCTAACATTTTCTTTTATTTGGGAAGAATTTTATAAGTTTTGTTAAAGAAACAGTTTATTTGCAGTCTTGAGGGGTACATGTATCTAGCTTCAACTATATTTTTTGTTTTTAACCCTTTTGCTTCTTGAGTCAGGCATTGTCATCTATTGGTATGGCGTTTAACCAGCATTAGTGAAAGGGGGTGGGGGATATATTGCAAGGTAGTATTGCTAAAATATCTTCACTGTAAGGTTTACCAATTCATTATATGAGGCTTTTCAGTTTCCTTACTAGATATTCCAATATTCCCATAAATAATTTTGGCAGGTTTTTTTTTTTATTAGCTTTTATTAAGTTTACTTTTTGTTTTGTTTTTGTTTACATGTTGATTGTTCAAAATTGCTGAGTCTTTTTAACTTTTTATTTTAAAATACATGTCTACATGTTAAAAGCAACACACACCAAAAAAGGGGGTGGGGGATTACTGGTTGATTTAGTTGTTAAATATTTCCAAATTATGCTGAGCTTGTGGATGTAAAAGAACTTCGGCTCTACTGGCAAATCCGGACGAAGAATAAACAGACTTGGACGACTTAGTCAGAGTTCTCTCCCGTGGCCGCACTCCGAACAGTTGGCCGCACTCCGAACATTAATCGGAAAACAAACGAAACAAACGACATACTTACCTATCATCCTGCGGTTGCGTGTAGGGCTGCGTACGGTTGCGTGAGACATCGTGGCATCATCATATGGTTGCGTGCACAGTTGCGTACGGTTGCGTGAGGCATTGTGAATGGTTGTGTAGTCATCATCATGCGGTTGTTGGATTAGAGTTAGGGGTAGGGTTAGGGTTAGTGTTAGGGTTAGATGTGAAAATTTTGACGTAGGATTTCGAAATACTGGCCGACAATATGATGTTTGTGGGAGTGGCGCCACTGAAACTCTGCCAAATATGACGCCAATAGCGTGCGGCTGGTGCCCCCAATCGTTGGCGAATTGTGCGTGTGACCAGCATCCAGAGGCCCTCGATTGTTTGTGTGTGTGTATGGGACTGTGCGCGATTATAGGGAACTCCGGCGTCAAAATTGTCAAATCAACGCTAATCCTAACCCTACCGCTAATCCTAATCCTACTCCCTAACCCTAACCCCTACCCCTCTAACCACGCAAATTTATCGATCATTAAAGCATACAAATCGGCAAACACCAACAAACGAAACACACCCAAAAAAACACACACCCAGAATTGTCCTGCAGCGTCGAAAAAAAAACCCAGATCTGGGGGAAACAACCAAGCATTGGCAGCCCTGATGTCGACGTGACTGTCTTCTTTTTCGTTGTGGCTTTTCCGATCACTGTTTGGAGTGCGGCGACGGGAGAGAACTCTGACTAAGTCGTCCAAGGCTGTTTATTCTTCGTCCGGATTTGCCAGTAGAGCCAGAACTTCTTTTTGTCAGTTCAGCCAATTATTCATTTTATGAAATCCTGTTAACCAATTTGTGTTTTGCATGTCCAATGTTTATCATGCATGCTCGTTCTGCAGCTACTGGCATACATTTATCTTGAAACAAAATATCTTTATTATGAACCCTAAACAATCCCCTAAACCACCGCTTCAATATAAGTGTGGTCGGGAAATAGAAGTTAGCGAGTGCACTTCACAAGCATTGACCTACTACAATTCTATTCTTGCAGTCCAAATTGAGGAGGAGCTGCTTTCAGACATGTTCAGATGTTTGCTTCTAGAAGAGTTTAGGGCAGAGCATTTTCAATTTTGGTGTCACATTTTTGAGACAGACATAATTGTGCGTGATAGCAAACAAGGGGTTAAACTTATCTCTTATAAGAACTACAGTCACATAAATGAAGCTGGTATAACACACCTTCACACTGCAGCTGATAGACTAGTGTGACGATTTGGAAAGCTCTGGCTTAGGTGAGGTCTCAACATAAGATCTGCATTGTCGAGACAAAAAAAAATCTTCTTAAATCGATTGAGGAATGTCTCCTGTGAGTTACATATCTATTTTGGAGATTTAAAGTGGTGACCTACTGCTCTTATAATAAGCATGTGTTATAAAGTAGACTTATTATGGGTCTGCAGACAGATAAGCCAGAAATGTAAAATGGATGTGCGCTCAAAACTCAAGTTCTAAAAGAAGAACAAAGTTCAGAAGTGGACATACAATCAGAACTTTTCTCTGTTTGCAGCTGGTGAACGCCTAGAAGAAGATTGTTTTCAAATTGAAATAATGCTGTAAATAAAGGACTCTTTCACTCCTTTTTATGTAATTGTATATAGTGCTAGATCTATGTTTTACAGACCTCAGATTTGTATGGGAGAGGGAGGGGGTTGTTGAATATTATCTTTACTCTTTTACAATCAAGTTAACAAGCTGTCTAATTATTTCTCAACCAGCTGTCCAGTGTTCCTCTTCTTTGTTTTTGGTACATCCTTACAGGACATCGCTAACCAATGACTGATTTTTAGGGGACTGTTTTTGGTTTTACAAGGCAATTTTAGTCTCTTAACGTTTTCTTGTAAACTTGCTCAAAACCATAACTGTGTACATCTCTACAACTTCTGTTCATTTTTGTATCTTTATCCGCATGCTCAGTAAACCCTGTATGTAACAGACTAACATGGGAAACAGAAGTAATAACTCAGCAAGAATTGTTTTAAATTATTTAAACCCAAAAGGATGTTATACGTTGAGTAGCTTACCTACCATGGCAGTGGTTCTAGTTCAACCACTTTAGCAGAGAAATATGAATTTCCTCCTTTAGTAATGTTCTGGGGCTGACCCTACCTGATAAATATAGATAACAATTTATCCCACCTCATAAGTCATGTTTTAGATTACGTGAAGGCCTTTCTTTACCCTTTTACAATACAGTGCAAATGTTATTTTATGCAAGAACTGTAGAGATTGTAAAAATATGTAATGTAGTTAACAGTTTGGTGGAAATTAAGCAGTGCAGCAGACTACACAAGTCCTAAAGAAACATACCGTTTAGTAAAAGGGCCCTTTTCAAGCTTTTGAGAAATCAAAAATATGTCAAACCTAGATTTTTTTTAAACCAGTCGGCACTTGATGGGTAAGGGAATTAATAGATCAGCATTCAGACCCAGAAGATATCATCAGCTACAGAGATAGATCCGTGAAGCACGGATCAAAGTCAGTATGGGCACACGCAGCGCAGAGAATGGGGAAAACAATACAGGAGGACAGCAGCGCTTACCAGACAACTACGTCGAGCATGACCATGTAAATAGCTGCTGCTTCTAGAGCATCAGCATGGGTATCTGAGCAAACAGCCACACACGCAGTCATTAAAACTCAATGAATATGCTTCAGAAGATAGCAACAGGTGGTATGTGCTCTGAATGGGTAGAAAGCATTAGAAAATCGCGCTAAACCCCCCTCACCTGGATCTACACACCTAGTCATGCTGGTGTAAAGGGAAATGAACGAGCGGACCAACTGGCAAGCCTTGCACTAAGGCATGTGGGAAGAAGCATGAACATAGCAGATATCGTCAGCGCTGTATGGACTGAGCTAGTGGATAATGAGAAATCCCAAACACTAACACGATTGCCTAATATGGGAGTAAAGCATTGTGTAGCACGTCTATGCTGTCCTCGAGGCTGAGATGGGAGCAGTTAGTAGAAGTACTTTGGAGTGGCTGCTGCATCGGAGGACTGAGCACGCATGGGAATGCCCAATGTGCAGTGACATCGATTGTGATAACATAACAATGTAACTTGATGAGTGATGTTAGCATCAATACAGCCACCTTTACTTCCCAGGACTCGATACAGATTTGAACCCTAGACCAGCAGGCAAGTATCTAACATATATGCTGCCGTGACTGCCATAGTATGAAGTCTCTGATATGTTTAAAGCTTTAATTCAACATTGCTGATTAAAATACTTTTATTATCTTGGCTGTTATGTCCAAAATAGGGTAAATATGCATACCCTAATCTACTATGTATATATCACCATTTTCAAACATATCTTCTTTTTTTTTTGCACATTCTGTTTTTCCTAGGGTCACAATCTGCTTGGCTGTATTCTCAATTAGCTCATCATATCCTTCTACTATCCTTTATTTCCATATTTTGTCTCCAGTGTCCTGTCTTACGGGATCCCATTTAGACTTGATCCTCATGTTTATATTGTAGTTTGATTAATTTGTGTGCTGTTTAATGCAGTTGGACTATTCTTTGTACTGTTGAATTACTTCACTGTTGGATTCCTCTAGTGTGCTATGTTGAAGTTGGATTACGATGCTGTTAGATTACTCTAGTGTGCTGTGTTGCAGTTGAATACGATGCTGTTAGATTACTCTAGTGTGCTGTGTTGCAGTTGAATACGATGCTGTTAGATTACTCTAGTGTGCTGTGTTGCAGTTGATTACGATGCTGTTAGATTACTAGTGTGCTGTGTTTCAGTTGATATATGATGCTGTTAGATTACTAGTGTGCTGTGTTGCAGTTGGATTACAATGCTGTTAGATTACTCTTGTGTGCTATGTTGCAGTTGGATTACGATGCTGTTAGATTACTCTAGTGTGCTGTGTTGCAGTTGGATTACAATGCTGTTAGATTACTCTTGTGTGCTGTGTTGCAGTTGGATTACAATGCTGTTAGATTACTCTAGTGTGCTGTGTTGCAGTTGGATTACAATGCTGTTAGATTACTCTTGTGTGCTGTGTTGCAGTTGGATTACAATGCTGTTAGATTACTCTAGTGTGCTGTGTTGCAGTTGGATTACGATGCTGTTAGATTACTCTAGTGTGCTGTGTTGCAGTTGAATTACGATGCTGTTAGATTACTCTAGTGTGCTGTGTTGCAGTTGGATTATGATGCTGTTAGATTACTCTAGTGTGCTGTGTTGCAATTGATATATGATGCTGTTAGATTACTAGTGTGCTGTGTTGCAGTTGGATTACAATGCTGTTAGATTACTCTAGTGTGCTATGTTGCAGTTGGATTACGATGCTGTTAGATTACTCTAGTGTGCTATGTTGCAGTTGGATTACGATGCTGTTAGATTACTCTAGTGTGCTATGTTGCAGTTGGATTACGATGCTGTTAGATTACTCTAGTGTGCTATGTTGCAGTTGGATTACGATGCTGTTAGATTACTCTAGTGTGCTGTGTTGCAGTTGGATTACGATGCTGTTAGATTACTAGTGTGCTGTGTTTCAATTGATATATGATGCTGTTGGATTACTAGTGTGCTGTGTTGCAGTTGGATTCCTTTGCTGTTAGATTACTCTAGTGTGCTGTGTTGCAGTTGGATTACGATGCTGTTAGATTACTCTAGTGTGCTGTGTTGAATTACGATGCTGTTAGATTACTCTAGTGTGCTGTGTTGCAGTTGGATTACGATGCTGTTAGATTACTCTAGTGTTCTGTGTTGCAGTTGGATTCATTTGCTACATAGTATGCATTTATCAATATTTGATATTGTTTTGATGTTATTTGTATTTCATTTGGTTTCATTCTACAATATCAGTATTTGATCACGTTTCATTCTGTGATCTGGGTCTCTCACATGAGAATACAATGTTCTTAGCCGTTTAGCACTTTTTTGTACTTAACATTATGCCACAATCAATTTTACAGTCACATGATTAATTGAGGTTAACTATTAATAATTTGGTATACAAGGTCAAATCCTTTTGAGACCGAATTAAACCAAAACTAGTTTGTTATGATACCATGCAGGAATTGAGTGCATAAACATGGGCACACACATTTTAGATATCTTAGTTAACATCATTGCAATGCAGTATCTAATAATTTAATTATTTATAAAACTCAAGGTTTTTTGGTTGCCTAATTTTTCAGATTTTCCCAATGCATCCAGATGCAACCATACCAATTTGCAGATTCCTGATAAAGTTTGCACGAGCAAGACCCCATCGGCTACAGTTACTGGGGATGATAAACCATCTACAAGCAATAAAATCGCTGTTGCAGCAACTCCAGTAACCGTAAAATTAAAAGACCGTTTCATACCCTTGCCTAGTTCTGCCCCACCAGAGGTGCCAGATGTTCACATCAATACCAATGGTTCACGGCATTCACACTCGGAGAGATCCTTAACACCTATAGGAATCTCAGATAAGCTTCCTCTACTTCATTCACCTCCTAGTTCTGGCGTTAGCGACGGAGGATTCAAAAAGGACAAGAAACACAAGAAAAAGCATAACAAGAGTTCAGATAGTTGTGGATTTGAAAGACTGAGGGATGATAGTTCATCTCGCAGTGACTGTTCTTCAAAAAAGAAAAAAAGGCATAAAAAAGACAAAAAGGAGAAGAAATCTAAAAAGAAAGGCTTGACAAGTTCCGATAGTGATTCTTATGACGATAGGAAATCCCGAAAACACAGCCGCACATATTCAGACTCGTCTTCTAGTTGTGATGAAGGCAGACGTAAGCGCAGACATAGGACAAGTGAAAGTGATGGCGGGTATGAGTGGGTGGAGAAGACAGTTGAAACAACACACCTGAGGGATTCTGACAGCAAGACAAGCAGTCGGGGTAAGCATTTTTTAAATGTTTGTCATTGCATCATTTGTTTCATGAGGTAAAATAAAGAGCAAGGGAACGGCAGATAAAGGCCTGAATGGTTAGGCTACATTATTCTGACAGGACAGGAACACCAGTTCTTTTGATCATGTCGGATGACCAACCATATCTTATCAGCAAGATCCATGCGGATGATAATGTCATGATTAGCCTCATTAGCCATGACCGCTGTAATTGTTTTCTTTTGAAATATTCTAAGCCCTAGATACTAATTCTGTGAGTCATTATGTCAGTATTCCAGTTTGTAATTCATTGTCAGCAATCACAGTTCCCTCACAGAATGTTGCTCTCTTTACAACACGCCTGAATGTTTCTTTCTCTGGCACTGTACTTAAAAAACTTATGCATCCTCAGTGTCGTTAATCCATTTTTGTTGACAACTCTCTATCACTGTTCTCTCCAAACCACCATGATGTAAAACATTTCTAAAATACGCCACCTATTGGGACAGGATACTATTTATGAACCAGTTCTCCTCGATACTTGGATAAAGTTCTTTGTCTGTGGTATTCTAGGAACATTTCTACTAGTCCTTAGGTAGTATTCCCATCTGTAACTCATGCTTTTTATCATTACATTTTATTCTTATCTATAACCTAAGTCATTGATTATCACATCTTTAACTGAAATTATAATCCTAAACATCAACATTGTGGTTTTTATTGAACAGTAGAATTGTCAAAGTAGATATCCCCACAATCATATTGAATTGAGAAGTGTCCAAAAGGGTAAACACACACAAATAATGTAATGTTTCTGCAGGGCAGCCTTTGTCCAATATGACAGTCATGTTTGACAGAGGCTGCCACACACATACATACATACATTTCACGTTATTTGTGTTGTATGTGCATGTTTTTTTTTTTGCTTCCCCATTTGATTAAGCTTTTTAGTCAAATTTCCCTGGAATTTCTTGTATTAGCTGCAGTCTCCCCCATATTTTCACCATTTAGAGGCCTTTAGGCATGTATGGGGGGGGGGGGGGGGGGGGGGGGGGGGGCATACAAGTAGTTAACCATGTAACTGGTACCATCAGTATGGAGACTCTTCTGTCTGTCTCAAAATGAGGACATCATTATTTGAACTTGCCCTGAATATTATGTCGAATCTTTACTGAGACGAACCCAGACAATTTAGATTGAAATTAAACTAACAATTTTAATATGCACGAAGATAGTTGCATCATAGAACAAGTTGGAATAAAATATCTTGATTTAAAAGTTCAAATTAATTAATAACCTTATGTGGAACAAGTTAGGCTGGTAAACTCTGTTTAGGTTATGGAACCAAATCTGGAGGGGGGGGGGGGGGACAAGCATGTCACAGAAAGTGACTAATTAGGGATGTGCCGCTTGAAGCTAGAGCACATCTGCCTGAGAGGTAAGGAACCACATTTTGCAAACAAATCTAGGCATTTTGTAAAACAATTATGCACGGGAAACTCGAGTTCTGAAATAAGTAAAAATGTCCAGAGGTGGACAAACAACCAGAACTTTCCGCTGGAGTTTGCAGCCAAAAAACACTAACAAAAAGCAGTAAATAATTACAGAACTGATACAGAAAGAGCAACCTGAAACAATTATGTGGAGAGTCATTGCATCATTGAACTTGTGAGTTCGTCGCTTTTGAAAGAATCAAATGGTCTTGTCTGTTTAAGCATCCATCCAATCATGGAACCATCATGTCAAGGATGATGTGGCTCCAAGAAAGACCATTTCTGACAAAATAAAAACAACGTGGGATGGATCACGTTCCTCGTCAGTCTCTGCAGGCTTGGAAGGAGCCAGCCATAAGTTTGGCAACAGTGGTAAGAACCGTCGTGTTTTTTTTAGAGATGATTTAAAGCACTTATCATCTTGTCCTGCCAATTATTTACAAGGCTTGCAGTCCACTCCTCCACTCCCATTCTTTCATGTGCAGTCCTTATCATGAGTCCAGACCTGCACCTTTGGCCTCACTTAGCGGTTTTCCGGGGAGGGGGGGACCTTTCCTTTTCAGCACCTTTTGGTGATTTCTTTGTTCATTTTTACTAATGATGTTTCAGTGTGTTGCCATTTTCTTTATTTAAAACAGTCATAATCAAATGTTTCTTTTTTGGTGAAAATTGTAACTTTTCCATTTAACTGAGGATTAAAACTAGCGCCAGTCTTACAAAATTTTATTGCCACTAATTTAAGATAAGAGACAGGCCATCGTCATCAAACTTCATACTTGTCTTCCACAAAATATTTTTGAAATTCTTTTTACTTTTTTATTTATATATATATATATATATATATATATATATATATTATATATATATATATATATATATATATATATATATATATATATATATATATATATATATATATATTTATGATTGTTACAAATGGCAACATGTTGGTTAGAATGGACAGCTCTCATGTGGACACAAAATGCCTCTTAACAAGCATGTTGTAAAACACAAATGAACTCTTCAGGCTCATAACTTGGCTCACATTAATTTCCATTTACAAAAGTGAGTATGGTTTAAAAATCCCTACAAAAGTATATATTGTGTTAGGGGAATGAATGTACAATTTGAATCTATGTTTTTGTTCAGTTCTGTCACAGCAGAGTTATTGGAGAAAAAAGAATTCAGCAGATATATTTGCATGGTTTTGTAGCTACAAAAGCGGTGAATATCCAAATTTGAGAATAACACTTTCTTAATCCATCAAAAGCTCAAGGTTTTCAAAAAGTGCTAAACCACCTGTGTGGGTTCTGGGGTCCTATTATAGAGAAAACAAGAATAGACCCACTGCCTACCTAAAAGCATGTCGTAAGAATTGACTAATTGGGAGCTTCCTTTGTTGAAACTGTTAATCCATTCACTTCTATGTGGTTATTTGAGGGGACAGTCTATAGCGCTCAAAGTCAATTCTCCACACATTTTTTGGCGATCCCACAAATTAAGGAGTGCTTTGATAATGGTGGCTGATCATTAGGGCCGGCAGGGTAGCAGAGTTTTAAACCAGAAAGTTAAGATGACTGTGACTTTGATCATTCTTATGAACTGCCATCAAAAACATTGTCAAAACTGGAAGATGAAATATTATAAGTTTGTTAATTATGAACATGAGCCAGTTTATGGCACAATGTGTATGGCAAAGATAAGCATCTCAAAACACTCCTAGAACATAGGACAGCATGTGGGAACTGCCACAAAATCTCACAGCCGAATAAGATGGGGAGATTTTAGTGAGTAGTACCCAGGATTTGTCAAAATAATAATTATAATTTTCAATACAACTAACTTAGGTGAATGTACCCGGGAAATTGATAAAATAATTATTAGAGTGTTTCAACACTACTAACTTGATACGGAATATAACTAAAATTGGTGAAAGTATTTTAAGTATCAATGTTTGCTGATGGCAAAGTATCCACAGTTACTTGCCATGGGACTCATGTTGCCTGTTTTGTTCTCGTCAACAGTTCTCTCTTGGGATGGCAGTAAAAGCCACAATGACAGAGAAGTGGAAGAGGAAGAGAGAGCCAAGAGAAAGAGACACTGGTCAGATAATTACAATGAGGAGATTGATGCTGGCAAGGTAAAGTTCTACTTCCCTTCCACCTATTTCTTGTACATGTCTGGACCCGATACTGGCAATTATGACTCTTCTGTACTCTCTAATAGATATCTAGATGAAGTTGTCTAGCTTGTATTGTTTGCTTGCTCAGCTATTAGCCAGAGTGGGGTGATCTCTCATGCATAAAAAAAAAAAACATGTGACTGGAGGGTTGATCTGAAACTGCCTTCACCTTACTGACGAGAGTACCACGTTTCAAGGCAGTGTTGGCTCCATTAGGGGTAGAAAGGCGGATGAAGAAGAAGGATGGGGGATAAGCAGCTGGCTGAAAGGTTAGAATGCTGGGTTCTCAAGTGGGCGATCTGAGTTCTAATCTGTGGTAGGATAATGGGTTTTTCATTCGGAAAAAAAATATCCTAGCCTGCACAGCCTGTGGAGACAGCACTAGCCATGCAGCCTTTAATGCGAAACCTCCGTGATCCTTCTGTCTGCACCCCAGTAGTGGTCAGTACAGGGAGTAATGGCAGCAGGACAGGGAATTCTTGGGTTTGAGGATTTAGGACCACATGGCTAGTGCTGTAGTCACTAACTGTGCAGGTTTGTTGATGCCACTGACAGGAAACACTTTCATTACATTACACAGGGATCGAACCTGGGTCTCCATAATATATACAGCTGGCATTTTAACAACTCAGCAAGCTGCTCATCTGAAAATCCTGTAGTTGATTCTGTGTGCTGTTGGTCATTATTGCTTTCCAGACTTCTGTGTACTGATGATAACTTTTTGATTCAGATTTTGTCTCAGACTTATTTTGTATAGTGTAGTTTGGCATTTGTAGTCATGTCTACCCACAGCCTTCTGTCTCGTGTACTTTTTATTCCGTTCTGACATAGATGGTCTCCTATATTCGCATATCATGGGATGCTTTCCAGCACCTTCTCTCTGTCTCTGCCCCCACCCCCCCCCCCCCCCCCCCCCCTGTGTGTGTGTCTTTTACTCCCTCCAGCACTGTCCTTCACCACTCCTTCTTATTTCCACCCCCTTCTTTTTTGTGTGTGTGTCTGGCTCTTTCTTTGTTGATATGTAACATTTCATTAAAAGTATCTAATTTTTGGTATCTATTTGTTTTCAGACAAAGAAAGTGAAAAAACACGACAAAGAAACATTTTCAACAGATAACCCATTCCAGCAGTTTCAATCAATGAAGCGTACGAACTGGGTGAGTTAACAGCGGTAGACTTTACAAATATCAGATCATTCAGTCTTAACCTTTTCTTGAAAAATGCATTTGTTTGTAACCTCCTAGCTTTTCTGATTGCTCAGGCCCATTGGTGGGACGGAAAAGCCACGCATCTCCCAGATTTATGGTACCTATCATGGAATCAAGGCCATGATTTCTGGATAATATACTATATATAAAAAATAGGGGGGGAAAGGGGGGGGGGGGGGTAAACACCCACTGTCTCCCTAACAGCCATGTCATAAAAGGGACATTTAGGTTTTTCCTTCTAAAGCAAGAGTGCTGCATCAAGCAACCCACAGTCTGCATATCTTTTTTTAATCTGTATGACATTAAGTCTGCATATAAATAATCCCGGTCTTTCAAATGGTTGTGCATGCAAAATTCCAAGTACTGGAACAAGACTGAGGTCCAGAGGTGGGCGAACAATCAGAACTTTGCACTGGAGTTTACAGCCAGTCAGCACAAAGAAGAAGAATGCTTATTATAGACATTTACTAGGAAGTGATGATGCTGTCCAGTTTCTTTTAGTATTTTCCTATTCACCCTTTGTGACATGGAAGCCACAGTGGTATGGTGGCTAGACATTCGCAAGGGGATCAGAAAGTTGTGAGTTCAGATCCAGTTTTATTTAAAAAATGACCTTGGCTCCCAGGTCGACCCAATCTTCAATAGGTAGTAGGTACAGTCGTGGGAAGTAAAGGTGGCTGGCAAGATACTGACCATATCAACCCTCCAAGCGCTGATTGGTCTATTAAAATATGTCTAACCCTATATGTCCAATTTGCCTGAAGGTGCGGAAGAGGATTTTTACCCTTTGACTTGATTGCAAACAGACTTTGAAGGCGCATTAAATGAATTGATCCTCTATTGTTCTTGTATTAAGCTTATGTCTCTTTGCACATTAAATAATTCTGTTTACCAAATTCAACTTAAGTTTTATGTCATGACGAGCCGTTTATAGTAATATGCATATTTTTGACATAGTATATGTATATACAGTAAAATCTTGTTTACACGAATTTCAAGGGACTGAAAAATGAAGAGTGCTAAAAAGTTTGTGCGAACTGGGGATTTAAAACTAATACTTTGCTTAAGTGAGTTTGTGTTAATGATGTTTTACTATAACACTTGATTTAAGATGTGAACAGAAAGTGGCTTATACAAAAAAGTATATAAAGTATAGATTATTTAAGCAAAGTTTTTTATGTGCCCTAAGATATTGAATGTGGTTTTAGAGAAGAGAGCGTAAACTTCCTTGGACAACCAAATTGTTTTGAAATGGATGAGGGCCAGAGAAAAACATCACAAATATCAGAGAGAAAAATTGGAGGGGGGAGAAAGAATGAGAGAAATTCTTGACAGCCTTAGGTTATGACATAAAGGAGTGTCAGATCATGGCACAGAGGGGGTGTCAGGTCATGGCATGGAGGGATGTCAGCACATGAACTGCACAGAGCTGGCATTTTGTGCATGGTACACACCCACATCAGTCTGTAAGGCACTTGTAGGCGATGATGATTATTTCTGCTTGTCAAAAAGGAAAACCTTGCAGTAGTGTTGTGAATTACCACCAACCACTAACTTGATTGTTGACCACATTTCCCACCTCATGCTGATGGTCTGTAAAATTAAGGGTGCTCTTCCCATATGCCCGATGTGCCTAAGGCATAAAAAGGGATCTTTACTTTTTCTTTTTACTTTACTTGGTTGATTTTAAAAAACTTGGCTGTTCATTTGACATTTTTCCTCCAACAGTCCAAAGACAACGGCCCCTCATGGTCCCAAGATCACAGCTACCACCAGCACCACGACAACGCCTACCACAAAAACTCCGCCTCCTCCTCACATCGCCCCTGGTTGAAAACAAACGGCGGCTACCACCCACTCAACAAGCACAGTGACAACCGTTTCAAGTCTTATAAACCACACAGCGGCACCTATGCTTAAACCGTTGATGCAGATTATTATTCAGTCGACCTGTGATCTTGGAGTATTAATGTTATCCTGCTTGCAACATGTTATCCTGACAGTCTTGGTTGTCTTCTTCCTGATTTTATTTTAAACGGGACTGAAGCTGTGGTATTTACGGTGGAGTTTGTTTGGATGAGCTGTGTGGTTTTGTTGTTGATTCTGATTATTGTTTTATTAGTTTGGTCTATTTAGTGTATAATAAACAACCAAACAGTTACTGATTGGCACTGGTAGAAAGATAGAAGGACACACTAGACAGCATAAATGCTATGGTTACAGTGCTGGGAATAAAACCTGTCACCTCCAAATGGTGTCTGCGCCCCGCTGTGGAAATGTGTTATAAGTCTGTTTGGTAGCAGTCCGCTTTGGTCTTGGATTTGTGAGAGCAGGACATCATAGGCTGTTACAAATAGGAAGAATTATGTCAAATACATGTGATGGCAACACTTGTCCTGAAATCCCATTCTCTATCCCATTCTCTGTTGAAAGATTTTCTTAAAGTGAGCAGGTCTTGCCATGAGTATTTGCCTCTCTGTTGCACAATAAAACACCATCATCTGGATCAGCACAACAAAAGCTTAACTCTTAGTTGTGATGTTTTGGTTACAAATTGACATAGTTTGGTAATGGTTGCATTGCTGCTGTGCTTCTGGAAAGGATATGATGGTATATCTGTAGGTTAGGATATGATGTGGTTGGTTGACCAATTCTCTGTCTCATTGCTCATTTTTCTGAGACATGTTCTAAAAACGTGATTGGTTTGTTGAAACTAGATTTATTTGTGTGGAAGCTGCAGAAATGTGGTTTTATAAAATAACGCCAGGAACTGGAGAGAAAAATATATGTAAAGTTGTCTTGAAATAAACTCAAGATAATTTTCATTACCGTTATCTTTACTCACCCTGTGAAGAGAGACTGAAGTATGCCATGACAAAGGGAGACAGGAGACAAATGTTTGACAGTTTGGAATCCTTTCATGCAAAAAAAAAAAAAAAACATCTGTATTGAAAATGATTGACTGGGCAAAAGGCTGTACATGAACAGTTCCACTTTGTGTGGGCTGTAAGATCTTCCCCAGTGTGGATTGAGGGAGGGGGGAGTAAAGTACAGACGCACTGCGCCCCCCCCCTTCCCTAAACAAGCATGCCGTAAACAAAAGGGACTGACCGAGAGTTTGTGGTTGGGCTAAAAGGCTGTAAGCAGCAGCAGATTGGCCAGGCAAACAGAGAAAGATCTACCATGCTGGTCTAAAAAATACTTCCAGGACAAGGGTTGAACCAAGATGGCTGTCCTGATAAGCAGAAACACCAGACTGCTACTACAGCTCTTGAACATAATATATTATTTTTTGGCTATCCTCTGACAAACTGTCGGCAAAGATGGCGGCGGCAAAATATCCAGCCGAGCCGTGGTCACGGGTCATTGCGCACTTGGGGTCACGGGTCAATTGCCCGCTTCCGGCTACTTCATGTGCGCTTTTCCGGCGACAATGGTTACCGCCACGTGGCAAAGCTGCAGGAGATGCGGAAGCTGCTGCTCGTGAGTCCTAGCCATCTAGTTTAGCCCCAATCCACGCTGCGTGAGCGGCGTGGGGTCCACATGGCGGTAGCGGTTGTTGGCGGAAAACCGCCGGAAGCTCGCAATGATCAGTGACCGCGGCTCGGCTGGATATTTTGTCGACCGTTTGTTGGAGGATAGCCAATTTTTTTATTATATATCAGGCTTCCTAATTGTGCCTTAACTTGTTGGTAAGACCTGGTTGAAAAGTTGGGAACTAGCTGAGAGTTGCAAAGAATGTTATTAACTTATGTATGTTGCCCCCCTCTTTGTAGAGTTTTGCCAGAGTGATCACCAGACATTTTTATCAGCAGTATTACTAACTTTAAAGCCATCCCTTTTATGCCACTATGTGCTATTTATGGCCCGAACTAGTGAAAAATCACTTAAGGCTCAGTGAGGGTTGTAAGCTGCATTTGGAAGAAATTGACACATTACTTGTTCAGCGGTCATCTGTGTTGAGCTGTACTGTTGTCAGACTCAGTCAATCTTGATAAGGTAAAGCACATTTGTTAGCCAGCGTGTTGTCTGCGGATTGCATCTCAAAGCATGATTAGGCAGAGAATTTAGGCAGCCCACCGGAACATATCTGCCAGTTGATGAACACTGTTTTAGGACACTTATTTCGTTTTATAACACAAATCGTCAGCAAGATTTGTCATCCATTGCGTAACCATATAGTGCTTCAATAGAACTGGTTTTTGTTTGTTGTTGTTGCAGTTGAACAGGGTTTACGGGATTTTCTCCTGTAGAATTTGTATTAAAGTTGACTCTTGTGAGCTGGTGTGTGTCAGTCTTTCAGGTTATGATGCTGTAGGGGGAGGAGGTTCTAGTGTTAGTGTCTGTGTATGTATTTGTATTACAGCTAAAGTTGATTATTTGTGGCATTTCTGTTCTCTAGAAGTCTTTGTTATTTGGTGGGGGTCAGAAGAACAAACATGAGGGTCCCTGATATAATTTGAACAAAAGTTTAAAAAAAAATAATAAACACCCTCATCTTTAGAGTAGTCTTTTTGCGACTCTGTAAATACATCTAATACATTTTTCAGCAAGACTGGAGATGTATGGGGTCTGTGGCAAATCTCCGAAAATAAGAGGGGTCTACAGGTCTCAGCTAATTGAGAACCACTGTTCTAGAATGTTCCTGATGAGATACCGAGAAATATCTTGGGCAGGAAACTGGCCAGTGTTGCTCCAGTTTTGTTTGCTCTACTTGTGATTAACTTGTTTTAAATTGTCAGACAATGTGTTCTTTGTTGACACATTTCTTTCTTGGATAAAGTCCTCCCACTTGCACTGACAGTGTACATAAAATCGTCAGATAAAAGTAGTGAAAGCTCTGATGGTCATTTGTGAAATTTGTTGTTTTTGATGGTATTTATGAGACTAATTGACATGGATGTTATTTGACACGATGTTTTATCAGCATTGTCTCAGCATGTAAGATTGTTGAATTGTAAAGTTGTTATAAACATTTCAGATGAAAGTATCTGAACTGAAGATAGGCATATGTATTAAATTTGTTGCTGGAAACTGACAAATGTTTGTTGTATGTGCACGGCATTGTTCAATTCAGAGTTATGTTAGTGGTAGTTAAGGTGCTTAGCGTTGGCTGGCAGCTGGTCTAGGAGGGAAACAGGCAAACAGATAGAGCACTGCTCTTTTGCTTCTGCAGCCTGCTTTGTTCTAAACCTACTGATGTTAGCTTTCCTTTAGAGTACACAAGGCAGGTAGGTGAGAGATATGTATGGGCTACATATGGTCTCTACAATACTACCCAGGCTTTATGCTATGGAGAGGACTAAACACAGATGTTGACAACAGCGGTCCTGCAATCCCATGCTGTATTTGTGGAGTTTTCTTAATTTTGTACACAGATGGGTCTTGCTAGTCATACTCACTGTCGCAATGGGCTGTGAGTCACATGCCTCCTCATAGCGCCATATAACATTGTCATCTGGAAAGATGCCAATCAAAGAGAAATACAAGGAGCATTCATTTTAAATGTAGTCATGTGATATGTAATGACCAATGAATAACAGAATATGTGCTTATCATCCAATAATGCTTGTTTCTGACCAATGAGGAAAATTGCTGGGCTGATCCAAAATCTGCTTTAAACAGCTCAGGGAGCGGTGATTCAGTTTCTGTCATTTGAAAGATGTTGACCAGTGAACATATGTCAAAGAATGCAGGGCATCATATGGTGATGTGTATGTTGAAGACAACAGTGACAGACTTGTCATGAATTTATATGGGCAAGCACGTATTGTTAAAACAGAAGAAAAAAAAGCATTTGTTTGTTAAAAGAATTTGGTGTATCAGTTGGGGACAGTTTGAAAGGTTCATAAAAACTTCAGTATCAGGAGGTATGTTCCGAGCGGCTACCACAGATTTCACTCAGAAGCAGACGTAATGAATGTGGTAAAAACTTGGTTCAGTGGGAAACCACTCCTTTTTTGAGGGTGGCATTTATTGCCTACTTAAGCATCATGGTGCTTCCCTGAATGCATATGGTGATTCTTTCTGACCAAACCCTTGGTGCACAATTCATTCAGAATGAATGTTGTTAAACTCTGCCACATCTGTTGTTTTTTTTTCATGCTTTTGAAATAAAGCCATTGGAATGAATTTCAAATTAATGCTAATTAAATTACAAGTTTCATACTTATACATGTAGTCACAAGGAAATTATAAAAAAAACAACTTTTTAATAGATCGTTGCAACAGTTCGAGTTGTCCATCTTCAGACTAACAAATACATACAAAAAGTCTAAAATGTTAACAATCAGGAAAAGATTAATCTCATTTCGATTTCCATATATACATAGTTCGAGTTGTCCATCTTCAGACTAACAAATACATACAAAAAGTCTAAAATGTTAACAATCAGGAAAAGATTAATCTCATTTCGATTTCCATATATACATATATATATATATATATATATATATATATATATATATATATATATATATATATATATATATATATATATATATATATATATATATATATATATATATATATATATATATATATATATATATATGATAACACACACACACACATATATATATATATACACACACACAGTCGAGTATGGGTAAGTAGAAGTCGCAGGGACCTAAGAAAATGCTTTCGCTTATCAGGATTTCTACTTATTCAGACAGCACATACAATAGCGACAGTTGCCGGGATTAAGCTGGTCATGTCGACTTAACCGAAATTCGACTTAAGTAGACTCAACTGTATATATACTGCATTGATTGGCTGGTCTTCTTCTTCCTTTGCATTTATTCTGTTTGCCATTAAAACAGCTTAACTGTGATATCTGCACATTTCTGCCTAAATCATCCTATTTCAACAAGCATCTCTGATGATGTGTATGTCAAGGAAATGGGTCTGTTCCTCACACC